CACAGCAATGCTTAATCCAGCCCAGCAGAAATAAATTATTTTTTAATGGTAACATATTTTAAATCTTTTTTGGTGCTTTATAATAAAGCCTTCAGAAACAAATTTAACAAATAGCAATCTGAACTATTCTGATATAAAATATTCTGTCTTAAATTGTGACAAAAAAGAAAAAAGTGAAAGTATTGAGAAAAAACAAAATTGCCTGCTTTTCATTTTTTAAAAAATTTATCTTTTGTAAATTTCTTAATCTCTACTACTCACCTGTTCTTTCTCCGACATCCTCTCACCTGGATGCTTGTTTTTGAGAGTTCACTTTCTAAGATTAAGTTTTTAAAAAGAATCTTTTAAATGGAAGATTGTAATTTTCAGTCATTTGATTTCCTTTAATAACAATTGTACATGGCCCACAGTAAGTCCATCTTTACAGACTTGATCTCAGTTATCATATGAATAAGATTGTTTCTCATTGTCCCCAAATGAAGAAAGAAAGGAAAACCTGATTCCATTCAGTTCCTCTGCTAATCTTCTTATCTTCCCAGCCCATTATTGTTTTTGCCTTCAAGCAAGTAAACCAGGGTAACCCTTGATCATCTATCTGCCCTTCACCTCACTGAGCTAAATGTACTTTTTCCTTCAGGAAACTTCTGAAACTTTTTCCTTATCCATTTCTCCATGAAGCTTTTTCTGGGCCAACTTGACACATAATTTAACGTTACCCTTTTGGCTCTTACAAATTTCTTCTTTCTGTTATATATTTTATAAAACTTTAGTGTGGAAAAAAATCTGTATTTTTTTCATTAATCATTTAATTCATTCTCTCATTCTTTCAGTTTGTATAACACTTTTTTCATGCTTAAATTATTTTAAATTGTATTCAGTCTTATATAATGTCTCAGAGCACTGGCAAAATGTAGACAACTATTCTGCCAGAGTAAAACACCCATAGTCTCTAGTCTAAATGTGAATGAATTTCTTATTTCCAGCTGAAGCCTCCTGAGCTTAGGTTTTGCTGTTCATATTCTGTTATAGTTTGTGTCTCGGTTTGATGTTATGGTTAGATGTCCCCTAAAAGCCTCATGAAGTCTTAGATGGGGCTTTTTTAGAGGTGGCTGAATGGAGGATGTGTGATTGATTCATGGTGCAATGCTCGGTCCCAGGGCACTACGATTAAGGGTGTGAGTGCTACCTGCCCTAGGTAGTCTGGAAAAGATAAAAGGAGCAGAAAGACACTGTTAAGTTCCCTTGTTACTTTTGTTGCCTTCCACTGCAATGAACTGTTGGTGCTTTGCCATGTGCCACCCTGTCTTGGAATCAGCTGATAACAGACTGAAACCTCTACAAACTGTGAGCTAAATAAACCTTTCCCCCTTCAACTTTGGATGTTGGGTATTTTGTCTCAGCAACAAGAGAGAAAAGTAACTAACACACATTCCTGTCTGCATTCTGGTCTTTTGATTTCTGACCAGAATCATCTATCAGGCTTGCTTACAACATTTTCAGGCCTCTCCAGCGCAAATTTCCAAAACTTTCACTACATGACAAAACTGCACTACGTGGTCAGGTATAGTCACAACAGTAACCTCACTTCTGTGGTACCAATTTTCTATATTAGTCAGCTTAACTGTTGCTGCATCCAATACTGGACCTCCATAACTTAAAGGTGGACAGGTTTAATTTGGTTTATAGTTCAAGGGATTCAGTCCATGGTCAGCTCACTCCAAGGCAGAAATGTCATGGCCATAAGCTATGGTGGAACAAAGCTGGTTAGTTTGTGGTGGCCTAGAAGCAGAGTGGGGGAACAGTGCTAGAAAAGAATCAGGGCCAGGAATCAGATGTACTATCCAAGGCTCTGCTCCATGATGTATCCAGAAACACCCAGCAGTATGATTTACTAATCCCCTACATGCTTCCCAGGGGAATCAAGGTGACAATTAACCTTAATCCTCACAAAGTCCTTGTCATGGCCCTGCTTCTGTTTTTGTCTAGTGATCTTTCATAGTCCTGACCATTAATTTGAGCCTGAGAATTTGTCTTCAAATCTGCCTCTCAGTATTTCTGGGTCATAACATAATCAAGTATGTTCTTCGGGTAATTTACAGTCATTCAGAACTTTATGGTGGTCATAACCTGCCTAGAGACTGAAAATAAGAAAAAATAAGAAAATAAGAAAAAAACAGACTGCTTTTGAGTAATACCATTCACTTCTTTGAATAAAGAAGTGAATTTCAATGTAAGAATATAGGCTTTAAAAATATAGGAAGTACTTATACATCAGATCAATGCTAGGAATAAAAGCCATGGGGACTGTAATTTTACATGATTTGGCTTTAAACTTTACCGGAATTTTGTTTTAGATAAAACACATTCTGGAGAGTACTGAGACTGTGGAGTACTATGGGTTCGAGTTTGTCTTTTTTTCTTTCCTTTCATCTACTATGTTTAACAGAGTGCCATATACTAGAAGCATACATATTCAGTATTATGCTTATGTTACATATGTTATGCTCACATCAGTGGGAAAAAAATGAACACAAAGAATTAAGAGATGCTGGTTTTCAGATGTCAATTTAGGGTCACATCTAACTGAACATTAGGAGCTGTTTATACCTAAGAATGTTTTTGGCAAACAGATACATCCACTAAAATTCTGAAAAATTAAATATACTTGTGTTACAAAGAGGCAAGAGACATTTGCCAAAAGAAAAATAACTTGACTTACTTCAAACTTTACTGTGTTTTTCCACTTTGAAATTTCTCTTTTTATGCTTTGCTACAAAGTAGTTAACTCCTTTCCAAGTGTGTTGCATTCCTGGTAATAACTAACATTCAAGGCCTTTGCTTCATGGAACAAAGATGATTCTTCCTTACCTTTCTTGGAGCTGAGCCAGTGGTAATAATGTATTTTGTCTGCAAAGACAAAAACAAATTTCAAAAACATTTAGATAGAGTCATTATTCAAGTCATTTATTATTGAAAATTCAGGAATATTATATTTTCTTAGATTTTAAAAAATTTTCTTCTAGAAATAGCGTTCTGAGATTAATAGTTTCTGAGTTACATTTCCCTTGTATCCTTCACTTCTTTTTCTACTTATAATGGATAAATTTTGTGTAAGCCTTTTCAATGGTACTCAAAAAAGACAAACAAATAGCCAAATAGAATTGATTTAAATGTAATTCTATTCTTTTGCTTATATTCCTATTTTGAAGAGGTAATATTATGTGAAGAAAGTACATTTTCTATTAATTCTTTTGATAAGCTGGTATAAATGTGTGCTAGGAATGGAAACATATAATATTAAAAAGTAGCATATCTACATAGATATTAAACTTACTAAAATGTGTAAAGCGCTTGAATTTGTGCTCTCGTAGAGCTTTTGAAAAACTAAAAATATGAACATAGCAGCAAAGTTATGACTTTATGTTAATGAGAAGCCTAAATACTAACTTCTAGGTTTCTAAGGCTGTGATATTGTTAATCACACGAGAAAACATTATTCATTCCATTTTAATTGATTCTGCAAGTCTTAAAAAGCAATTTACCATGTCCTATTATTTGTTTTTGTTTCCATGTAAATAGATTCTATACATATATGTTTAACGTTTAGAAATTTATTCTCTAAAGTCTATTTTTAGAAGAAGGAATGAATTGAATATACTCATTGATTGATGCTAACCAGGATTCCCTTCCTTCCCTCTGCTGTTAATAAGAACTCTGGGGATCAGTGGTCTTCAAAGGCTAGCAGCACAAAAAGTACATTGAAAGACCTTAAATATAGTACCCCTGATCAACCTCTAAGATTTTTATATAAGAAGCCAAAGACGGGCCCAGGATTTTCTTTTTTGTCAGGTATTCATGGTTTTTCCAACAACACAGGACATTATTGTCATCATCTTTTTACAAATGAGACAATATGAAAACCAGGAAAGATAAGTTAGCACAGCTAATTGTTCACTAGCTAAGACAAGCATGCTGACTGAATTTGGCCTTCTCTGCAAAATTAGACATTGAATAAAAAGTTCAAAGTTCCTGACAAGATAGGAGTTAATATAGGTGTAGTTTTAAAACGTCCTCAAACAGCCTCTCAGATACCCTATCTTTATTCTTTGTTTTTCAGTCTACTCTAGTAACATGGGACCTCATTTTATACTTTAGTTCAATTTAGTAATTATGTATCTACAATGTGAAAGACACCACCTAAATACATAAACTTAATTTGCTTTGTCTTATTATCTTATAATGGAAACATTTTTCTTTGACTATATTTTCTTCTAGTTCACAGCTTAAACAAATGAGAGACTTGGAATTCAGCAAATTTGATATTAAAAATGAATTACAATTTAATCATATTTTATACTTAATGTCTGCATTTTTATTCTGATTCAGTAAATTAATTAACTACTCAGGGTATACAAATGTGTTGAGTTATGAATTTTTTTTTAAGTGTTAAATATTCTTTATTTAGTATTATATATACACCACACTAAAATGCCTTTCAGTAAGTAAAAGGCAGCAGTCTTTAGATACAGGGAATTCTAATTAAATTGGCATAGTCAAGATAAAAAATATAGATGTTCCTTCCTGGTCTTCAAGCACTGTCTTTAAGAAGCTAATAAACAAATTGAAGCAGTAGTCTTGCTTGGTTGTGAGACAGTGAAGGATTTCCCTCGTATTTAAACATACTCACACAACCAGTTATATGTATAAATCTAAATATAAAAAAAACCTCCAGTAGGTTTTGAGATAACATTCTCCATCTTTGTGAAAATTCGAACATTACTAATCAAGTCCAACCATATTTTTAGAAAGGGAAAACAGTGACAGTATTTACTGAACTGGATATTACTACCAAAACTTGAAAAAAAAAAGATACCCACTTAACTATAAGCCAATTTTACTTAAATCAGGACTGTCCAACAAAAATATTCTGTCAGCCACTCATGATCTGAATTCTGGTGTATGAGATCTATTAAATTATGGTACACATAAAAAAGCCATGAGACATTTCTGTTCTATAATAAATAAGGCAGTGACTATTACTCATTAGTAGCTTTTTTGAGGTAAGCTATTAAGTCTGCCCTTTCTCCCTTCTTCTTAATGCCGGTGAAGATCATTTTTGTTCCAGGGATGTACTTCTTGGGATTCTCCAAGTACTCCATCAATGTATCCTCTCCCCAGGTGATGCCTTTGTTCTTGTTGGCATCTGTGTAAGTGAATCCAGCAGCTTGACCTGTCTTCCGCCCAAACAGACCATGGAGATTTGGGCCAGTCTTGTGCTTGCCTCCCTTCTCCACAGTGTGGCACTGGGCACACTTCAGTACAAAACACTTCTTGCTTTTCTCAACATCACCCATTTTTAAATCTGCTTCGGCTTCCGCGTCCGAGGTTCAGCACTCTTTCGTCGTTACCACAGACAAAATCCCAGCTCAGAAGCCAGACGTCCCGCTCTCTACCGAGTTATGAATTTTTAACATTACAATTTTTCTGTTCAGTTATAATATGCTTATGGCAATAAGTTTTGAAGTATGGAACATTTTCACCTTATTTTTCTTGCCTGTTGTTCTGTTCTAAATTTAGAAACAATACCTCAAATCAAAATTTCTGAAATAAGTTTTGCTCATAGATGTAAGAAACATAAACCACAACTGAATGTATTTCTCAGAAAAAAGTTGAATGTAGAATTATAGACAGTTTAAAAATATATATCCCTGGTACATATTATACATTACTGATGTCTTTAATAGATAAGAACTGTAGTCATTCTGTTGGAAGTCTGGAGCATAGCCAAGAAATGAATAAATTATTTTTTAAATAATTATTAACATATTCGACATTTTCCATGTGCCAAATTATTTACTATTGCTTTTAAGGGAATACTCATTTATTTTTACAACAGCACTATTATAGTCATTATCTTATAGATATGAAAACTGAGATTTGGAGTGGTTAAATTTCCAAAGGGACATAAGCAATGAGGGGCAAAAGTGGAAGCATCTGATTCTAGAATCTGCAGTTTTAACCTCAGCGCCGAACAATTTAGTGTAAGGCTACAGGATCTTTTTGATTCTTAAACAACACAAAGGAAAGAATAGTAAACTAGATCGAAGATGTATGTGACTCTAGGTTAAAGTGAGACTGGATTTCAAGAAGGGCTTTCCCATTCCCACAAAGGATTTCTGTCTTATCACTCATGTTCTAAAGACATGTGGGTAAGAATCAGTACAATAAAAAACAAAACAACAGCAAAAAACCAAGTCTTTAATATCACAACTTTCTTCTATCAGTCTCTTCAATAACCACTGGTATTTCTTACTACATTCATAAAAATCTCTAGAGACTCCCTTAACTTTATATAAAGAATAACTACATTTTGTTTCTTCAAAATATTTTAAATGGAAATTAGATGCTTTAAAAGAAAGACTGCCTATCTGGAGTGACAGCTTCAAGTGTTAATATTTCCATACGTTTGATTAGAAAGATGATTTCCTGAACATTCTTACTTTTTAATTTTAAAATACATGCATAAATATTTCAATTAATATTTTCCAGTTTTTACTCCTCTCATCTGCAGGGATCCTGAAGTAAAGCTGTATGAAGGGAACACTGCTCAACTGATACACCGTGTCCCTCCAACCTGGTAAGGATCATCATGAATCTCAGAGGCTCCACTTAATAATAAAAAGAGACACAAAAGCTCTATGAAATGTTGGGGCAGAAACAATTTACAAATGAAGTTTTGCCTCATCCAAATAAGTTTTCATACTGTTGCTGCATCTGTTTCATTAACATGTCCTATAAAGCCAAGAAAAAAATGAAAGAAAGAGATTTGTTGGTAGATAGATTTGAAACCAAAAGCAAGAAAAGGATGAAGACAATATTCTTCTGATGAGCTCACCACCAAAGCAAACACTTACCTCCAGCTGGGATATGAAAATTTGTTTATCTGAAAGAAGCATTAGAGTAAAAAGCACTCCTCAAAAGAGTAATATTTTCAAAAGATAATCAAATAGTGAAATCATTGAGGACAAAGAGCTTTAGTTATCTCAAGATAGAATAACAGACATTCAGTTAACTCATAAAATGAATCATTATTTGTGAACAATAGCTACTGATTTTTTAGCCTAAGGAAAATAATTTAAGACAGGTATTAGAACAAGGAAGAATACTGTAATTTCTGATGAACATAAAAGTGCCCAATGATCCTTTCACAATAAATAATTAGAGATAACATTTCCAGCTGGAAATTGAGTAGTAGGTAAGAAAAATGAAAATTCAGATATCATTAATCTACCAGCACAGCTCAGCTATTTTGATAACATATCAGAAGAATGTAGATTAAAAAATATTTGTTTTCATTTCAAAAAGTCAGCAATTAAAAATTATCAATGAATATACTCTTGGATGTTCAACTAGGTCCACCAGACCCCATGAAGCTGTAATCTGGGCCTGAGCACTTCTCCAAAGCATTGTTCATACTCTTTGCCTAACTTTACTTGTCTTCCAGAGTTCAGTATTAATATCTCTTCTGAAAAAGCCACTTAATATTCCCTCCATATCTAAGTGAGGTATCCATCTGATGTTTCCTATGATACTCACTGATAAAACACAAGCTACACTCTATTCCTTATTCTCCTTTGTGTTCCCAAAGAAACTGAATTGTTTAGAGAACTCACAACTGTTCAATCAGCATTCCAGTAGGGCCATGAAGGAATTAATAATTAATACAAGGTATTCAGTTTTCTCCAAGGACGTATGGCATAACATTTTCATGTTGTAATTCTAGAACCAATTATAATAGTCATGTTTTTCAAATAACACACTAGAAGGTGAATAACAAATTGAATGCATCTAAATTCCACATACAATCAGCATTATATATGTATTGATTTTGTTTTAAACAAAAAAGGGCAATGTAGAGGTTTAGATGAGGATCAAGAGACATCACAACCTTTTCAAAATTTTGTATAGAAAGATACAGTGTAGATGCCCAAGATCTTCTTACACCATTGTGTCCTCAAAATATATATTTTAAAGAGCCATTTTAAAATTATCTAAAGTTCAACTTTTATTTTTCACAGAAGTTTGGGTAATCAATAGTATCATTTCATGTATACACACACACACACACACACACACACACACACCCCACACACATGCACACACCATGCAGCCAGAAGGAAGAGAAAGTAAAAAAAAAATAGTTGCAATATATTAAAAAATGTTGTGTACATATTTTTCTGCTTCATTTTCTGTTTGTTAGTTATTTATTTGGGTACAAACCTCAGCCAAACCACCTTAGTTAAGTTTCAAGCCTGGTATGTAAAGACAAACAAGTAATAATAAAATCTGACCTTTACTGATATCTCACTCTTTGTTAAAACTGAATTAAATAGCAGCAGTCAGAGACTGGCTTCATGGACATGTTAGGGTATAGAGGTTAAGTTCATACATTTCCTGGAAACATAGAATAGTGTGGAAATCTTGTTTCCATCATTAACAAACTGAATGTCCCTGGATGAATAGGTCTGAGTGTGTTTCCTCATTGTAAAATAAAGGTAAAAAAACAGTATTTGCCTCATAAAGATTTGTGAGAATTGAGGCAGTCCATGATTACCTTAGTGTGTTCAGTGTTTGCTAGTTGTTATAGTTTATATCTTGATATTCCCTCAAAGCCTCGTGTGCTCATAGATGGGGGTTTGGGGGGTGACTGGATCATAGGGGTGTGATACTCAGCAGTGGACTGACAAGTTTACAGCTAATGGTGATGTTCAGAGGTGAAGTCTAAATGAAGAAAGTGGGCCTCTGGGGATGTGGCCTGGGAGGATATATCTCCCTCCCTCCTTCCTTGATCCTTCTTTCTGCTTCCTATCTGCTATGCCATGAGCCAGTTCTCCTCCGCCATGTCCCTCTGCCATGCCTCCCTTCCTTGCAGTCAGCCACCTATGAACTAAAACCTCTATAAACTATGAGCCAAAATAAAGCTTTCTTCTTTTAAGTTATGGTTGTTAGTTAATTTTTTTCCACAGATCACAGTCAAGAAAGTAACTACAGGTAAGACACTAGTTTTTATGATCATGATTCTCAGTGGTAAAATTTTGCTCTATTACTAGGTTGTGAGATCATGGAAGACAGGGGCATTCTTATTTATGTTTATTGCCTAATAAAATAAATGCTTCGTAAGCTGCCCAATTTAACAAAAAGCCAGTTTTCTCCTGGGTTAGCCTAGATATTATTGATGACATTTCTGTTTTGTAATAAAACATTTCACTACTGTCTTCGCTACTTTATACCTTTTTTAAGCAAATAACTTTTACGTGAAAAAAGCACCATTTTCTAAGACATTCTATTCTGACTATATACTCAGGTCCCATTCAGGTCGTTAGCATTTAAATGTAATGGTTAACAAGAAGAGATGAAAGACCTTAGATACATCTTTGTGCATTTTCAGCTCTCTCAGTTCTTCCCCCACCTCCATTCCCCTGCCCTCCCTTCCAACTCTTCCACCCCTCCCTATTTACAAAGACATTGCTACCATTTTTTCCTTTTCTCTTATTTTTTCCTTTCTCTTTTTTCCTTCTTTTCTTCCCCCTACCCCTCCCATTTTCCCTTCCCCTTCCCCTCTGGACCTTAGTTTAGCCACATACCACATAGTAACTAGACCAGAACATTATTAGAAAAGTAGTTTCTAAAAAGCACAAAATTAAATATTTTAAGATACCAAGAATTCACTCAGGTATTCAGCAAACATGTATTGATTACCTACTATGTATTTTACAAAGGATGAGGGAGATAAAAACCTGTAAAACCTGAGTTATTTTTCAGTATATAATTCTGCAAAATCCATGACAACTCTATTTTTAAAAGTTCAAAGAAAACTATTACCCAGATTAACAGATATTTATGTAAAGTTAGAAGAGAAAGGATGAGTGTTTTTTGTTAAGTCAACTTTGCAGTTTTCTCATAGGATTTTAGTGATTGCACTGTATCTCAATGGTTCTGTAACATTTGTTTTAATTATCAGATTGTACAATATTGAGGGCGATAAGCATGCCTCCACCAGAGTCTGGCATGTAATAGGTGTTCAATCCAATTTGTTTAATGAATGAAGGAATGGAACTGAACTGAACTTCACAAACGCAGCAAAACAAAGCAAGTTTGCTATATATCCCCTGCTTGACTCGAAATTACAGTATCTTTGAGAGATGAACTGTGATAACTGGATTACAGAAGTCTCTCTCAAATAAGAACAACAAACACAGTAAGCCATTCATTTAATGTTCATTAATCTGGAGTTCAAGATAATTCTATCTTGGTTTATTTGAAATTCACCTCTGCAGGATTAATGAAGAATGCTGTATTAAACAAATTACGATAGACTTAAAATCATTGACTTTCTTTAATGGGCCTACAGTTGGAGCCATGATGCTTATTAACATTTTCAAGAAATTTACAAAAACTGATTAGATCCAAGTGGATGTCTTAATAATGGTTCATCTACTTAGTAAAATAAGGCTCAGAGCTGTGCATTCAAAAACACTTGTTCTTTAATCCTACAAACGCCTGTGGCTACATTAGTGCTATGTAGGGCAGATTCAGTCAAAGATCAGGCCTGTAGGGTGCTCTGGGTCAGGGGAATCCCACAGCCACCTGAGAGAAACGCGACTGCTAACGGCAATGAAAATAAATGTGGAAAGTAGGAAAGTGAGAAAAGAAAAGCCACTGTATAATAGTGATTTTTTTTTAAAACAGGAAATAAAGAGTTTAGGCCTGGACAGAGAGTGGTCTGCCTTGGGTTCTGTCTGGCCCTGCACAGGCCCGGAGGCCTCTCTGAGAGGTTGCCAGGACCTTACTGATTTCAGAAAGACTCACTTCCAGGGAAGCCGGTTGGAGAGGAGTTTCCCGCGCAGCCTTCACTGTGAAGAACCAGGCGCTGCTTCCGGCCAGTCGGATGCCTGCACCCTGGACGTCTGAGCGCATGCGCTCCCCCTCCCCCCGCCCGCCCACGCGGGGGCGCCCTCTCTTCTGCGCCGTCTGTTCTGCCCCCTCCTGTACCCTCGTTCTGCTCCCCCCGCCCACCACCTCCCGTGCCCTATTCACCCCAGGCTTGGACCCGAGCTCGCCCCTGCGCGTGTCCTCTCAACTCCGTTAAGGAGATTGCAGCTTCCCTGGACCCTCGGAAGAGGCGCTTGCGTGTGTGGCTTTCTAGGTAGGTGATGTGCACCTGGCTGAGCACCCGCGCAGCCCCTGAGGCGTGGCCCCTGAAAGAAGATCTTTGGCACTGTGAGATCCATCCAGATCAGATGGTCTTCCGGGGCCTCCCTGTCAGAGCTCCAGAGGAGCCATGGGTGCTGGCGAGCAGGAGGATCCTCACCCTGAGACCCACTGCCATGCTAGCCAAGGGCCCACAGGTCGACACACAGGATGGTGCCCCGCCTGGTGACTTCACCCAAGGAGGGGTGAGGAGGCACCCGGCACCATAAGGGCCTGAGGACCAGCGATATAAAAAGGGGGGCAAGGAAGGGGGATATAGGCCAGATGGCAGGTGGGTAATAGGGACAGCTAGGTGTGGAGGAAACCGTGTTTAGGGGGTCCACAGTGTCCAGAGGAGCAGGAAGAAAGCCTGAAAAGTAACGCAGACAGAAGTAGGCCAGGCTTTCAGCAGCATCATAGTCAGGAATTCCTGAGGCACATTTGGGACTTGACTTCCAACAGGAACCTTGGAAAATAAATGTGCAGTTCAGGGCTAACAAAATGTACGTAATAAAAGAAAAAACACCCATGATATAAAATCTGCATGAGCAGGATGTACTTTTCTACAGCAATATTGGTATCGCATTGATTACACACATTGATTCTTTGTCTAGCTTATTTTTCACTTAAAATTGAGGGATTTATAGTATATCATGTGACCACAGGAGACTGAGTGACTTGGCATAGATTTGTGCCTTGTGACTTCACCCAAACCACTATTCCACTTATTTTTATTAGGGAAGACTTACTGCTTCAGAAGGATTTTAGATCAAATGCAATTTAAAGCATATATAATTTTGCTGACTTTCAAGGCAGGACAGTGAACTGCAAGTGACCTAATTCAGATGCAAAATTTAGGAAAGAAGGTCAGATGCACAAATAGTTGATTCTGATTATGAGTTTTTAATTCTTTTTTTTCCATTAATAACTGTTGGAGTAGTGTTATTTGGAATCAAAAACAGTATTTTGGAGACTTTGCTAAAGCTTGAACAATGTTACCTTTTGCTATACTGTATTTCTGCATATATAAGGATATTAGAAGTTCAGTGTGTATTGTGATAAGATCAGAAGGAATATTTTAGCTTTTTAATAGGACATATGTGTATCATGTATACATAAAATTCTTTCATATGAAGATTCTTGAAACCAAAACTCAGAGCTGCAATTTGAGTTAGTTGAATTAGGCCAAATCACTGTGCAGTATTATTGAGGTAAACATACTTATGACTACATGATGAAGAATGGGTTGGAGGGAACTAAGAGGTCAGTTAGAAGTCTGAAGAGGCCTATAGACAAGAGGTGCTAATGGTTTGAAGGAAAAATGGCTACAGTTTTAAATACATTATAGGGAGATAATCAAGAGAATAGTGCCACCTAAATGGGAGCAAAGAATAGAGGAATCTCAGAGTGGGATGCTGCAGAGAGACTTAGAGTGGAGACTTTGCAAATATGTTTTTTGAAACCTTGGTAAGAACGGTTAGATCAGGTCAGGATATTGCAGAGTTCTTTTCTTTTTATTTTCTTACTTAAAGCTGGGAGCAAACTGAGCCTGATTATATATGGAAAGGTAGAAGTCCGTGCAGAGAAAGACATTTAAAGAGCAGAGAGGAGATGGTTGGTAAAAAAGATACAAGAGTTTGGTAGGCAAACTAGTACACTGTTTGGTAGTACAAACTTGGTATATTGTTTATGGTTTATAAGGACTGGATGTTATATTGAAGTACACATCACAGAATGACCACAGCTTTGTTCATGTGCCATAGGAGAATTTAGGACCTATATCATATACTTATCTGTCCATTGTTATATCCATCACCTAATATTTTTATAGTGCTCATCAATGTTAGCTATATGAATTTCTCCTCTGAACACAGTTATAATGGAATTATTTGAGTGTAATTACCACTGAAGGATGTATGTCAGATAAATAATTAAATGAGGAATTATCCAGCTCCAATTGTGATACTGATCTTGAAAGAAGAGTATAGAATGTTAAAGGCACCTAGGTAAGAAGGAGCTGACATGGCCTGAGGGTATCAAGGATGGCATTTTCAAAGATAAAATGTATTTACCTAGCTGATACCTAAGAATGATCTCTCTTGTTAGCAAGTTAACCACAATTCCCTGGTGATGCCATCTCCTACCTTTCTGTTCATTGTTGGGCTCAATCTCCCCTTTCTTGAGCATTTCAAATGTAGTTTGCCAGTGGGTTTGGGTAGTAAGGTGGAAAAACGTTCAGGAACTAAAACTTTGCTAGGATCTTTCTCAAGTCTGTTATTGCTGCATTACAGTTAAATGGGCATTTAATTTTATTCATGCTACATTACTTACCATTAGGTGAAAAAAAGGCTTTGGGGAATGGCAAATCGATGGTCAGCCATAGCCACCACAGACTTAGCCTCTTAACATCTTTTAGAGGAACCACAGCAAACATAAGGCCTGTCACTTCTTGTTAGGAATTTTGGTAACAGCTAATGAAAGCTTTTCTTTTTTCTTTCATTTAAAATTTTAATGTTCTCTAGGTCAAGCGACTGGGGAATAAGCATCCATTCATGTATCAGCAGGGAAGGAAGGTACTATTGCTGCTATGATTTTTGCATTTATACAGCACTAGAGTGTTGGCTAAGTGCTTTTACAATCAGTTTTATTGTTCAGTTTAAAAGATAGCCTAAATCACCTCTGTCAAAATTTGTTTTAAGTGATTCAGAGATCTTTCCTTAAAAATGGGTTTTCTGTGACATAGATGAACTTTCTAATCAATTAAGGTTAGATATAATATAATACAATGTTATTATCTGAAGAGAATAAGCTATTAATAGAAGATACTAGCCTCCTGACACTTTTGTTACCCGCTCTAACAATGAAAGAAAATATAAACAAACAACACAACAGTAGAAATACAACCTTCCTTAAGGTATGGTTTGTAAATAGGGCAACAGGAGGTGTTGTATGAGTGACAGTTTGTGCCTTTTATTATGCAATCCTTAATTAAATTTTTGGCAAATTTTTCTGTATAATGCCAGAGAGTATTTCCAGCTTTTCAGGCCATAGCATTTCTATTGCAACTACTCAACTGACATTCTAGTGCAAAAGCAGTTATAAGTGAATAGGCATGGCTCTTTCAATAGGGCCTGGTTTATAGAAGCTTGACACTCTGATTTGGCCTGTAGGTCATAGCTTACCCTCTAATTTCAGGACCTCTGAGATTCCATAATGAACAGGAGGTGTTACAGATTAAAATGATTGATAGTGGAAAGCTCAATGAGGCCAGTGATGGACTTATGTTGATTGTTTTATCTTCATGACTAGCACAGTTCCTGACAGGAAAGAGTGAAACACATCTCCTGGACAAAGGAATCAGTAGCAAGGGGATCTGATGAAAAATTGCCTAAGATACACTAGACACTTCTGTGTTCAGATTTCTAAGTTCTGTAACAAAACTACCATTTTGGGTAGAGCAGGCACTGCATTTGAGTACTCAGTTCAAAGAACAAATCCAAGGAAGATGTCTGAAGAAAGAAAAAAATAATAGTGAGAAGCATGGGCCTGTGAATCCCCACCAGTAAAAATGCAAACATCCTTTGGAAGGAAAATGATAGAGAGTATATCTCTATCCCTCCCCTAGTCTAGAGACTTCATTGTCTGCCTTCAGTTTTATGTAACTTTGTTCATAACCATTCTATACTATCTTCCTTTTTTCCCTGTGGATACTTTCTAGGTTCCTACCCACCATGCAGGTACCTATGACTCCCAGTCTTAAGGATTGTCACAACACCAATTGGGAGTTCTCTTCTCATTGTAGTCTCTGTCTCTGTCTGTCTCTGTCCTGTCTCTCCCTCTCTCCCTTCCTCATACCCCTTGCCCTCCTTCTCCCCCTTACCTCCTCTCCCAGTTCTAGTAACTGATCTCTCCTCTCCTACCTTTAGGCTTGGGAATAATGAATTAAAGGATGCTCATATCTTATTGCTGATATTACTAGCCCCTAGGTCATTGTGTTACCATGTAAGGTTGCCTACATTGTTCGAAACAGTGTTTTCTTTTTTTCAGTACTAGGGATTGGACCCAGGTCCTTAATACCGAGTGTACCCCCCTTCCTGGTTTTTAAGACAGTACTTCTCTAAGTTGCCCAAGACTGAGCTTGGGTGTGTACCATTACACCTGGATCAAAGTCTCTTTAATAAACCACTCACATTTCTCAAATTGAGGTATTATTATCTTTTTTGTCTGGACCCCAATTGGAGTAGTAGTCTTTTTAATACTTTTTAAAGATATTTATTATATATTAACAGGGGCTTTTAGTTTTTTCAAAGTCAGTCACTATGGCTTCTACTTCCTAATGTCATAAGATCTCAAAGTGAAAGTAGTCCTGGAAGGTGATTCATTTAAACTCTCTAATCAGAGTCTGAGGGTATTCTACAACATCCCTATCACACCCTATAAAACAATACTTGATTATCTTCCATAATAGGCAGCTCATTAGTACTTAAGCTCACACATCTCCACAGTCCCGTTCATTGGACTTCATGGAACCAGTCTAATTTACATTTCATTCTTCTATTTCTTAGTAAGATTTTCAGGTTACTATCTCTGTCAGTTTAAAAGTGTTGTGTCTAGAACAGGATCTCTTTTTTCATGTGTTGTTTGGTGGTGCTGGATTGAGTGCAGGCATTAGATCTGGTGTGTCCCCCAAAAGTCTCATATGTTTAGAAGGTCATTGGATCATGGAGTGGTGTATTCATGAATCCACTGTTGACAGACAGCTGACTTGCTGTTAGGAAGTGGGGCTTGGTTAGGAACAAGGCAGTGGGGATACAACCTGTAAGAGTATATCTTCTACCCTGGCTCCTTACTTCACTCTGCTTCTTGACTGGAACAGTTTTTGTCTGCCCCAGGTCCTTTGCATCATACTGTTTGGGCCTGACAGCTATGGACTGAAACTTCTGATACAGTGAGCTG